GTTGTCGTTGACGATGATGCTGGCTTGGTAAAGGGGAGGGACGCAACTGCGGCATCGAACACGGGCGCGATGTCATCACCGATAGCCGCCAGGAATACACTGCACAATGACGGTGCAGAGATAATGGCTGGCTGGCGAGGAGGAGGTAGCCATGTCCCAAAGAAGGACAAAACCTGCAGAATGAAGCAGAAAGGATTTTAAAGCGGCCGCACAGCCACCGCTCCTCTGTCCTGTGCCCACTGAAAGCGTCCTGTGACCAGGCGCTTAAATTCGCAGAGAATCCTGTTGTCGTTGACGATGATGCTGGCTTGGTAAAGGGGAGGGACGCAACTGCGGCATCGAACATGGGCGCGATGTCATCACCGATAGCCGCCAGGAATGCACTGCACAATGACGGTGCAGAGATGGTGGCTGGCTGGCGAGGAGGAGGTAGCCATGTCCCAAAGAAGGACAAAACCTGCAGAATGAAGCAGAAAGGATTTTAAAGCGACCGCACAGCCACCGCTCCTCTGTCCTGTGCCCACTAAAAGCGTCCTGTGACCAGGCGCTTAAATTCGCAGAGAATCCTGTTGTTGTTGTTGATGATGCTGGCTTGGTGAAGGGGAGGGACGCAACTGTGGCATAGAACACGGGCGCTATGTCGTCACCGATAGCCGCTAGGAATACAGTGCATGATGACGGTGCAGAGATGGTGGCTGGCTGGCGAGGAGGAGGTAGCCATGTCCCAAGGAAGGACAAAATCTGCAGAATGAAGCAGAAAGGATTTTGAAGCGACCGCATAGCCGCCGCTCCTCTGTGCCCCCTGAAAGCGTCCTATGGTGACCAGGCGCTTAAATTCGCAGAAAATCCTGTTGTTGTTGTCGATAATGCTGGCTTTTGAAGGGGAGGGACGCAACTGTGGCATCGAACACGGGCGCTATGTCGTCACTGATAGCCGGCAGGAATACAGTGCATGATGACGGTGCAGAGATGGTGGCTGGCTGGCGAGGAGGAGGTAGCCATGTCCCAAGGAAGGACAAAATCTGCAGAATGAAGCAGAAAGGATTTTGAAGCGACCGCATAGCCGCCGCTCCTCTGTGCCCCCTGAACGCGTCCTATGGTGACCAGGCGCTTAAATTCGCAGAGAATCCTGTTGTTGTTGTCGATGATGCTGGCTTTTGAAGGGGAGGGACGCAACTGTGGCATCGAACACGGGCGCTATGTCGTCACTGATAGCCCGCGGGAATACAGTGCATGATGACGGTGCAGAGATGGTGGCTGACTGGCGAGGAGGAGGTAGCCATGTCCCAAGGAAAGCCAAAATCTGCAGAATGCAGTAGAAGGGATTTTGAAGGCGACCGCATAGGCCGCCGCTCCTCTGTGCCCACTGAAAATTTTCGAGAAAGCAAAAAAGTTACGAAACAAACTTCGAACGAATCGACGCTAGACGAGGTAGCGTAGCTTGTTTCGAAATATTAGATCTAAATTTAAGTGATTGGCCGTTCCTAACTCCGCTGAGATTCCAGCATCCATCATAGTATCAGTACATAAAAATTAACCAGTTAAAAACAACTGGCTTTTTAAAACGTAAAGTAACATTTATTGGAGATCATTAATCAAGCTTTCAATTCATTCCTCTCATGGTTTGAAAAGGAAAGCGGTAAAAATAAGCTACACAGTGTGTAGCATACAAAGTCTGTCTCCCGCTGTAAATAGTCTCATTTTGGTCTTGACCACGGCAGAATCAGCCTCGTAACTTCAAGAGCGAGCAGCTCGTTCAAGAGCATGTGTAACAAGATCGAAGCTACTGACAATTATTTAGAAACCCGTACCCGTATGATCGCCGCTTTTATCTATAGAATAGAGCTGTCGTCTAAGTCATAACAAGAATTAGTGGTAACAAAAGACCTCTCAAAGTCAGGAGCTTGCCGTAAGCGTTCACTTGACTTTCGTACACTATATACACCTTTCCAAAAAACACTGGACCCCAGGGGCAACAAACCGTTTTCGAGCCCAGTCACTGAGTTTGAGGCTAGACTCTCACCGGCTTCCCTCCTAACCCTAATAGAGTGGACTATGATTTCAATAGGCGCAGCCTGCGTAGGCGCAGTTTCAAACGCTGCTGGCGGCTAAATTCTCGTCTTTTCCCGCTACATTTTGTGTTTCGTGGTACATGTATTTTCCGGAGGACATTAAGAAAGCATTGTACCACATTTGAAAAAAAAAAAAAAAAAAAGAACTGTAAACTATTTTTGTTGGGTAGGCGCGCGACAGAACGAATGTGACTGGAATGTATAGTTCTAGTTATTTGTGTTTTTTTTAGGATAAGTTTTGACGGCGCCGCGGGATTTGCCGCATGTGAAACGACAAAGCGCTTTGCTGACAAAAATAAATTGCAACAGAAGATTGCCGAAAGGCGTGCATTTTTCACGCTCACAAATAACGTGTTTACCGATGGACAGGACACGGACATACAATTGAGGAAGTGTTAACATTCGAACAATATATCGTACGTACCACACGATGCAGCGTTATACGAAAAGTATTTATTTGAGAAAGATCTCAAATAACAGTCACAGTCGACGGCAGTCACATCTTGACGGTCGGACGGAATCCGAGATGACTTCGTTTTGGGGCACGTTTTGGGGAGAGCTTTCTTTTTTCACAACCGCACCAAGGCAAAGAAACAAACGCGACTGACCCGTTTCTCACCCCAACCCGGACAACTATTTTTGTAAATGACTTAGGATTCTACGCGGATTATCCCTGGAAGGGGGGAGAACAATGTTCGCAAAATCGCGTCGAGGATCGTTCGACGTCCTTCACCTCCTTCGTTTCCCGTGAATGTCGAGCAGAAAAGCTTGAATGGCAGGCACTTACCAGCCTTATTTCTTACCGCTTCGTTTGCAAGGCGTCCTCCGTTGCTAGGCGGTCGCTAGGCGCGACGTCACTCCGGAGGGATGAGTCACAAGGCAGCAAGATATCACCGAGGACAAAAAATGGGGCACCGGTAATCTAGCCATCGCCGCTGGGTGTCTGACAACCCTGAAGTATCTCGGAATTTCAAACCCCCTCTGAATGTGCTACCCATGGAACTCCGTAACGTACGTGTCATCCCACTGACAGCATTCTTCGTGAATGCAAGCTACTTCTTCTCTGGAATTTCAGTTCAATGATCAAACTTCTATCTATGAAATATCTCCAAAATCATATTAGTTTAATTCCTTTTTCATTTCTCAAAACGACCTCCTTAATACCCCCCTCAGCTCATCCCCATCTTAGTACAAATTCACCGCCGCGAGCAGCGCCATCAGGTAGTGGTACTGAGAAATAGAAATAGAGGTAATGATGGGGAACTGAAAGAAACATTAGCTACTGCTCCAAAAGCGTTTTCTTTTTTTTTTGTAACGCTGTGAGGATATTGATATTAGTCCAGCCATTTAATGCTTACACTAGATGCGCATAACATCAGCTGGTATAGAAAATCAATTTATAAATGTTGAGTTTGATACCTGTCGGTAAAATGGTTATGTATTTAATACGCCTATTAGTCTTTAAAAGCTTACTACGAACGTGTTCAGTAAGCTCATTACAAGACATGTTTTCAGGAAACCAATACACAGAGGGTTGTTTGTTACACGTTCAACAAAGTGAATAATAGCAGGACCAAATTTGAAGAGAATGAACACGTTTGGTTGAGTTCTTTAATGTAATGGAAATATTAGTCTCGCTGTTGCTAGCATTTATATGAAAAGCGTTCTTTTGTTCTCATTCCAAACTTTTAATATTATTTATTAATTTAGAAAAGACACTGTTTTGTTAATAAGATCCTCACTGCTTGTATCTCGAAAAATCATACTGGTAATTATTTTATCCCTTAACTTGCACCTTACGCAAAAAAATGAGTACAAATTAAAAAAAAAAAACTCTAAAACGTTTTTTTTAATTTTTTTTATTTAAATACTAGATTTTCTAAGTTGCCATTCAATATATAATTTCCAACTGTCCTTATATAGATTTCGCCGCACACGGCAAGGGCTGAGCAACAAAATATAAAGGGAGGGAACCATTTTCTTTGCTAGATCAGCATATGTACGATTGTGGTATGTAAGATATCTTTTGGAACGGACTCCAAATTGATCGTGCCATTGGCCCCATTCTCAAAAGCGCTTATCTCGGGGAGTTTCTCGGGGAGCTGCTTACAAAATTCTAGCTCTGATTTGATAAGATAAGGGCGGAAAACGTTTATCTGTTTACCATTGTACTCGAGCCTTCGCACATGCAGCTTGAAGCACCTGGGTTGCTGTCCCCAGTGTGCCCAGATTTGAGAGTTTTTGATTGCTCTCTTGGTGTCACGTGTTGTAAGGGTCTTTTTTGCAATACAAGCCGCAAGGAGAACGAGAAATCGCCGACCGTCTGCAGGTATCTGTAAGCTTTGCCCAGCCTCGCCGCCCGCCATCGTCCTCGCCACGCGGAAACGCACACACGCTCCAAACTACGCTGTCTGGAAAGCGTCTACTGGTGTGTTTTAGCGTCCTATTCCGCCCATGCATCCAAGGTGGTCCCTACGTGACAACACGTCACGTCACGAAAGTCGGAGTGTCATGCTGTTGGATGTCGCGATTCTGGTGGTGGGCCGCAGAAGTTACGGAAAAAAAGCACGTGCAAACGCGAGTGCCGTTGTCGTCACAGCGTCCCAACTCGTTGTGGCCGAAGTTTCTGTGGACTGCCACACTGGAGAGCGACCTGCAGCAGAACAGGCGTCTGCCACATTCAGCACAGCTGTTGGAACGCCGCCAGGATCGCCACCGGCGACAGCGTGACACTTCTATGAAGTCATCAGGCGGAAATCGAGGGTCCAGTTCTTTTTTTGACGCGGTAAAAACACCGGACGAAGACGGCTTCCCGGCACCCTGCCCAGATTGAGCAGCCAGTTCCAATACTCTTCCTGGTTTCAGTTGGTCCCTCTCTCAAATGAAGGCTCATTAGCTGTCCCCACCGTTCCGCAGAAGTAGTAGTTCAATAAAGCGTTATAGTGTCGATGCCCAGACTCTCGATAGGTACGCGTCCAGATTGCGGTTTCTGCAGGAATTCCCACTCGGGCAATCCAGACAAAGTTCCGAGTCCGACTCAACAAGACGAGAAAGGCCATGGATCTCGATGAACTTAGGAACAAGTACAGGCGAGAATTCGTTGCCGTGGATTATCCAGACTTGGTTACTGCGCACAGCTTCCTGAGACACTTCCACCAGAGAGAACTTCACTCGATATTTGAATCCCGTAAGCGATTTTTCATTGCCTTTGATATCCGTTTTATTGGGGTCTCCGATTTAAACGTATCTTGTAGACTCGCAAATGCATGTGTGGACTACAATGAACGTGACCTCGGATATTATGAGTACTTGAGGCGGCAAATATAAAGCGATAGTGATCTTTTTTTTTTTGTTAGGAAGTAAAATTACGCGGGAAGTGGGAAGCGAGAAAACGGGCCGCGGATATTCGGGGCTGTGGCCGCCTGTACTTAGATTTAGATGGAAGGATGCAGTCCGCAGATGATTCGAGAGCCTGCTAAGATGAATGTATTCTGTGAAAATAAGCGCTGAAAACTTAAAAGCAGTACAGTTAACCGGATAATGTATAAGCAATTCCAGGTATGATTTTTACGAGGCTACAAATCGGTGACAAAGTGCGAGCAAAAATTAAAGATGCGTAAAACTCCTACTATACTTTCTTTGTTTTCGGCGACTACTTTATCTATTCACGTATTCCAGCAGTTAACTTAAAAGGAACAAAATGCTGGTGAATTGTTTTTGTCATTCTCCAGAGAAAGAAAAAGAAAACGTAAAAGGTAGACTGCTGACTGCAGGGAAAGCAGTGGCACTTCGGCGGAGGACGATGTGGGGTTTATACTCGGGACAACTTTTATTTTCAGTGCAGGTGATGGCGCCGGCACGCATACCCTCTCCCTTTCCGAGAGCTGATTAAAGCTGCGCTCGCGCTCTTTTACGAAATGCCAAGTGCCCGTATGATGCGCTTGGACGTCACCGAAGCAGGAACGGACGGTGCTCGTCCGGTCGTGAGGTCTTCAAGCTCAGCGGAGCCACCAATGTTATGTGACGTGTCTGTGCTCCCCAAGTGTGTGTGTCAAGTCAGGCTTCTTATGGTGTACGTGCCGTCTAACGAGATTTGAAAGGATGATTGATCGAAGTTACTGTTCACTTCTTTTTCAGTTCCGGACAGGAAACGAAGCCTTCTGGACGTTGGCTGCGGGCCCACAACCTACAACGTGTTCCCAGCCACGAAGCGCGCGCAGGACGTCGTCCTCAGTGATTACGTGCTCGGGAACAGGGTGGAGGTGGAAAAATGGTGGAAGAATGCTCCCGACGCGCTGGACTGGTCATGCTACAGCGAGTCTCTGGCGAGGCTCGAAGGATTCAGGTAACGAGCTTCAGATTTTAAGAAAAAACACAACCCTGGGTATCGCGGTAAAACGTGTACGGTACTTATTCTATGCCGTCAGAGTAGCTGTAAAGTGTTAGTTTGTTGAGTCCTCCTTCTCCGACTCAGCATTCGTATGGTTAACACGCCTTGAAATAATTACTGATTTTATGGCTTGCTTACTACTCCCATGGGGGCGACCTCAAGCAGCGTCTTGATTCATACAGTGAAGCAATACTTAGACATTTTTCAATACTTCAGCTTAAGACAATGGAAAAATAAGACATATATGAACATACACCGTGTGTTTATGTCCGTTCTTTTTCGATTTGAAATATAGAAGTTATTCACCACCTTCCCTGCGCTTTTACACATTCAGAGGCATTCGCCTTCGTTACATAGAACGAATAAACAAATAGGACCTTGTGATATCTTGTTTCTTGTTTTTTCTGCGTCCCCCGACTGCCACTCGTTTTTTGGTTTATTTAGGACATTCTGTGCATGGTCACTCGGACCGATGAAAAGCTTCTTCCTGAAAAAAAGCACTCTAAAAAATAAAAAAAAAGCAACGGCGCGTTCTCTTTTTTTTTTTTTTTTTCTATTGACGCGAGAAGAAGGGAGAACGAGGCGTTTTTCCCCTTCTTCAGCCAGACGGGAAAAAAGTTTCGCCCTCCCGACTCATATTCTTTCGGTTTCGTTTTTCGAGCACGTCGCGCGCGCTGTTTAATAAACGTTGTTGAGTTGATTGCGCTTCAGCGGCAGCGAAGGCCGGCTGTAAATCCGTCTCCCAGTCCAAACACGCAGAACATCTTGGTTGCATTGACGTTTTGACCACTAATTTCGTCAAACGAGCAAACGAAGCCGTTCGAAGCAGCGAAGTTCCAGACTAGTGCCAGCAGCGCTACGTACACTGGGCTAAGAAGGCCGCCTCCGGATTGCGGAACGATCGTGTCGACGTCGACGACGTTAGGGCAACCGCGGAAACCGTTCAAGTCAGGCAGGTTTTGCCAACGTTACTAGCGTTACTAGATCGTCTAAGTTGACAAGCTCCGAGAAAACAGTGAGGCGCTGCATTCACTGCCGCGTAGCGGCGCTCGTGTCGCAGCGCGCCCGACCCGCTCGGTCTGACTGTAGTTCCTGTATAGTCGGCAAAACCCAGGCGGTGACGGCAGAGTGAGAGCCCACGATTATACACTGTCTCGTTCAAAGGGTGAACGATAAGCCCCACATTGCGTGCCGACGGCTGCGCTACGTATACGAGCGCAACGGACACATATTGGAGCATGACGCAGCGAAAAGCCTGATACTTCTTCGCAGTAAAAGCGTACTCCAGTGATACGTAGTCACGTTCCGATCGGCCGTCAGGGCCGTAGCTTACGCCGTACTGGCATGTTATACGATCACGTCTTCCTGGCCTACGCAGTATTTCTTGCTTCAGACACTAAGCTACACTGTTAGCAAGTCCCGTGTATTTGGTGAATATTTGGGGTGAAAAACACGCTATTTACACAAATTACCATAAATTTACACGTTGAGTAACGGATAATTCGTTCAAAAATCATGCGAGGTTGTAAAAAACGTGTTTTCGTTCGGTCATACACGCATAACCGTGTAGCCGACCTCGAAAACACGCACCACCGCCGGCGACGACCGCAGCATTGCCGGCTACCGAAGCACCGGAACGCTTGGGGACACACCTAGAAAGGACCGTGGAGTCAAATTCCGCGGAAAGGAACATGTCTCGGAGACAGATGAGCACCAAAAGCAATTACGCCATGTCGCGAGACGGGGCGAACCCCGCGCTTACCGTGCGTGCTGGCTGCCATTGTTTGTGGTCGACAATGGCAATGCGGCTTCCCTTATGTCGCCCTTGTTTGTATTTATATTAGGGGTCTTGATAATTGTTTCTCACACACCAAAAATAAAGTTAGGCGTATAATTACTCGTTCTAAACAGTTACAATGGCTATAAAAAGCGTGCCCTTGATCTGAACACGCGACATTGCAGTTGGTTTCGTTTTGGCTTCAACCCTTCCAACTGCAAGCGAAGGTGCCGCCGCTTCCCATGCATCCTCCTCAGAATTTACGGCGCTCCGTGGTGTCCAGTGTTGCTGCATCTGACAGAGAAAATTTGGCCACGGCGTAACGCCGATGTAAGCTGGAAGCTAGAACCGGTTTGCTTTCGTTGTTTTTTATTTGGTCGGAGAAAATCTGGCAACAACGCACGTTTAACATGGCGCCGGTATTCTTTTGGTTGGGCAAGAAGCAAGGAGGTTGCAAGAAGGTTGGAAGGTGCTCGGCTTGCGAGCACATGTAGCGAAGACGTGACCGGAGACGTGCCCCTGTGATGTTCCCGGACGACGGAAAGCATCATTCGCAATCGTCGTGTGTGCTTGGAAAGCGAAGGGTGTCACCGGGTCCACGAGTGCGCAACCACAAGCCAAGGGTCACGACAGCGCTGCGTTTACTTCGGCGATCTCGTTCTGTTTGGTGCAACGCGGCGATGCGACAAAGAGCTGAAGTGTCCGTGGTGTGTGGTGCGGTGCTTGGAGGTAGAAAGCCACACTAACACGGAGCGCGAATTGGTTGCTGTGGGTTTAGTCCGTCGTAATCAGCTGATCCGGTCCAGCTGGTCCCGGAGGACGCAGCGAGCGTTTTTAAAAGTAAATCTTCCCTCGTTCTGTTTCAAAATGTGGAAGTATACCGACGCATACCGTGAGTAAAAAGCTGTGGGCGTTTTCAACAAAATTACGTCGTTTAAATTGAACAATGGACTCCGGATTGTTGTCCTAGATCTGCCGTTTTTATGCTTCGTGTTGGACTGCGTTTGCACAGCGACGCACACAGCTCGAGTAGATGACTCGGTCCTGCAAACGACCGGTAACAGAATTTCAGGGAAACTTAAGTCACCACTGATATTTTCCTTTAAATCTCGTGCGAGTTTGTTGCGCTCATCATGCGGTGTGAATAAATTGGGGCAAGATTTCCTACCTGCCCACAGATGCATGAACTGAGACCATTTTTTGCGTGGTGAACATAGTGCTTTTTCTTTGTTTTGGAAAGGCGCTGGTGCATTTACTATGGTACAATCACTTGAGAGTTGAGAAATTGGAGAGAGGGAGCAAGCTTTCCCAACTTTGTCTGTTTTCAATGGCACTGCCCTGTTTCAGTTTCACTAGGCATATCTAAAAGCGGGTACAAACTGCTCTAAAGCAGTTAAAAAACAGAAGAAGCTTAGGACGGTGCGGACTCCGTGTTTCGCGCTTTTCGTAAGGTGACTGGGTAAATGCTTTTGCGAGGTATGCGGGGTATGCAAGCGATTTTGTTATGCCTTTCGTTTGCGTCTCTCCAGTAAAACGAATAAGATGATCTACAAAGGCGCAATCACAAGCCAAGATTTACGATAGCAGTGCGTTTGCTTCGGTGGTCCGTGTAGTTGTATTTTACTCTGCTCTCTGCAACACCGTGCCATGACGAAGAGCTGGAACGGTCACGGTTTGTGCTGGCCTCCCCGTTGACAGAAACCCGCATCGCCCGCGTCGGCACCGAGTGCGCTTGGGCTGTTGATGCTCACAAGCCACGAATGCTTTCATCCGTGGCTTGTCGCCAGCTGATCCTGCTGCTAAACGGTGAGGAAGCGGCGAGAGTGACCTCTGAAGTGAATGTAGATCCTCGTTCATTCAGTTATCCGGTGTCAAAGTGTGGAAGATGTCCAACGTGTACTGAGGGCGGGAACTACGAGCGTTTTGCCTTGCTTTTATAACCGGAACCAGAGCAACGAGATAACTGCCTTGCGTACTTAAAAATGACGGAAGCAAAACGTTTCAACAGGTGGAATACGTCACCGGGGATGTAGGCGAGACGGTGTACACTGTTTAAACGCTTGCAGTATCCACGAGAGGTACCAGGAAAGCGACGTCAGCAGAGAAGGAGCTCGCCATTCAGCATAATGCAGTGCTACGGGCCCGTGTATATTCAAAGTTCGGAATGGTAACAGCGTGGCAGTGTAAAAAAAAAAAAAGAAGAAAAAGACGCATTAGCGCCCCACACCAGTGATCACGAATAACACCGGCCATGAACTCCCGAGCCCCACCGCTCCACTCAACACCGACACGACAGACGACAACAAACTGCATCAACACGACCCAAAAGTGAAGGCGTCTGCTCCTCTACTGCAACTAGCGGAAGTGAAGTGTTGAGCACATGTCCTTCACAAGAATATATAAAAAAATGCTTTGCGCAAGCATCATTTCCGTTTATTATTAATTATATAATGATAAAATCTTACTAATTAAAAAAAAAATCTGATTCAAGCTAGTCGGACTGCTCATAACACTGGTCTAGCATAAAAATAACAAAAATTTGAATTTCTTCATGACCGGTTTAGGATTTATTGTCAATACATCGTTATCTTCCGCAACGGACTAACATTATAGATTTTGCCTCCATACTTTTTAAATGCAAAGGGTTCTTACATGCGGCTGTCCATTGCGCCGTGTTTTGTGTCTTCTTCTATAAATCTGTAACGGTCAGCGACTAAATAGCTCACCCGCACATGCCAAGCTTATATACGCCGCGGAGAGAAAAGCATGTTGAGTAGGAAGTGTCGGGCGCAGTGTCGGGTGTTGTGTTTGTGTATATGTCGGTGGTGTGTAATGCGTGGTATTGGCGTTGTGCGTGATGTATGTAGGGGTTGTGTATACTTGTGATCGGTCGTAGGCTTGTAGCATATTAACAAACTTTTTTTTATAGACTGCTAGAAATCCCGCTAGGTGGCGGAAGTTACCGCCCGATTTCAAATAGTTTGCTCGAGTTATTTGTCCATTCAAGTTCGCTTTTCTGTCTAGCGGCTCGATCGTAGCTACCGTAGCTACCGACGCCGCCGACCGCCGACGACGCACGTACGTATTTTTGCGCGTAGCTACGTCCGCCGCTTGGAGATTGTTTAGTGTGTATAAAAGACATCGAAGGAGAACAAACGCCGTCCTGTGAGCTTTCAAT